CAAATTCTTCGCTAGCTGGTCAACTTGCTGTGAGAGTCTCTTGTTTGATTGGAGGAGTTGAGAAAACTTCTCCTCCAAGGATTGAGCTCCTGATGACTGGCCAGCTGCTGGTGGTTTTTGGCTAACTGCGGAGATCCCGAGCGCGGAAACATCCATGATTTTATCTGCCATCTGGGCGAGTGTTTCCAAGGGCTCCGATAATGTGGACAGGATCATGCGAACTTGTTGGGGAAGTCGCTGAAGGAATAGTTCCTTGAAGATGGATGCGTCGAGTGATTCGGCGCGGTCTCCCAGAAGTTGATGCATTCTGCGGAGGAGATCGGAAGGTTTTCTGTCGCCTAGCTCCTCTGTGGTGAGGAGCTGCTGGATGCGTCGTTGCTCAGATTCTGTAGTCCTCCGAGTTAACTCTATTTTCAATTTTTCGTATGGATTGTCTGCTGGAGGCGCTCGGAGTACGTCCCGGACGATGCTAGCGATGGACTGCGGGAGGGCAGCAACAACGTAGTCGTATTGTGACAGTTGCGTTGTGATACGGTTTTTTCGGAAGATGGACTCGATAGTGATGAACCAGAGTTCCGAGTCCGTGGTCCAAAACTCAGGTAGCTTGACCGTGGCCAATGCTTGGAGGGGAAATCTGGTCGCCGGTGGATGTGGATTCGGTAGCTGGCGGAGACATTACCGTTGTTGCTGAGGGCCGGGTCAGGGCTGAGGTCGCTGTTGCTGAGGTTTCGGGTCACCAATTTGAAGCGTACTGAGCTTCAACTAATTTATTTACACTATTTACATAAGGTTAAATCTGAGACGTGACGAGCCGACCTTGCGGGTGCCGTTGTTCCTCGATGTCTGTGCTGTCTCGAGCGCCGAGAGAGGCCGTGATCGCGCGGGCACTTCTTTCTCTTCTTTCGCGCTTCGCTGGGAGCCGCTACATGCGTTATGAAAGGCATGCACATTCAGTAAGAAAAAAGACAGCGGAATTGTGACTCTTACATACATTTAATCGTCAGAAAAAGAGCCTTAATAATGACTCAAATACTATTCTGTTGTATCCGTAAATTCTATGGTAAAGTTAAACCGATTGCCTTCGGGATTGGTAACTTTTCTCTACACTTCTCTTGCTTTGGAGCATTCCAATTGGCGTTTAGGGGATGCAAATTCTCACTCCACCATAATGGAGGTGCAAAAATTGGAGACAAGACAAACAAAAGTATGATTTAACGGCCGCAATAGTAAAACAGTTTTTGAGGTAATAATTGTCAAAGAAAGGGTAAAAACACAGGCGAGCTGGTGAAGAAGTTCCATAGTAACTGGAAAAACGGAACGATAAAAAAGGGACAAAACAACAACTCTCAAACGCAGCTTCTAGTTTATCCGAGCAACGAACACTCTTATATATACGTCAAGACCCTCCCCCCAAGAAAGGAACACCTCCTCTCCACTAGGTTATACAGGTCCGAATGACTCATGCTGCACCCCCCCCCCCCCCTTCCACACCAACCACCCACCTTGACGACCTCGTTTGGAGACTCCCCATATGCGATAATAGGCACCTTAAGCACAACCCTCACTATTCTTGGAAAACCTACAAAACAAGACCTTAAAGACACAAAAAGCGCTTTATACCACTATCCAATGCCAAGGACGGTGGGCTGACACAGTTGACAAAGGTCAAAATACGCATGGTCTTCCTCAGAACTCTCCTATCATTTTCGTTTTCTTTATGCAAAACCTGGGTCCCCCCCCCCCCCCTTTCTTGGGTTGACAGTCATTACAGTCCACAACGTGTTTAGCGATTTTCGACTACTGAGCCTTATCTTTTAATGCCATTTTATTTCAAGAACCTTTCATTTAAACAACCAGTTTTCCCGACATAAGACAGCCTACACCTCAACGGAATGTCGTACACGACTCCTATCTGACAAGTTACATCTGGGTTTGTGTGTGTTTTTTTTTTTTTTTTTGGCACCCTGAGGACCACCCAAAACGGTAGTTAACCATTCTAATTTGTGCTGAGCTTTAAAAACTAAACTTACACCGAACCTCTTTGCCTCTGATTTAAAGTTATGAGAGATTCCATGGTAGTAAGGCACACAAACAACATTCTTCACAACCGGTTTTTCCACAGAAGACTAGCTAAACCTTCCGTAACATCTTGAGCACAACTATGACAATTACTTCCTGGCGCTGGCCCGCTTCCAAAAGGCGCAACCTTTGCAACTCAACTGTCCCTCCAACCCAATGAGTGCAGGACTTTTTACAGGCATTATTCATCACAGACGTAAATACACCCCTCTTAACTACTTACGAGTGAAAGCTGTCAGCTGCCAGCAAAGGCTTTGCCCATTTCTTGCCGTACCTCCAGCACACGCCCATTTCCGTGTGCAACAGGAGGTCTAAGTACTGAATTTTGCCCTGAAGTGTACTTTCCTCCGCGAACGTCAAATCCTGGCACTTTTCTACCATACACTTCTTAACCGCCCCTTCCTAGAAAGCAGAAGTCAAAATATCGTCTACATAGCCACTGACAACGACAGCTCCACTCGGCAAGGACCGCACAACCGTGTCAACGTAAACATACATCTTGTTAAAAAAAAAATCTCGAACGACACTGGCGCTATTAACGATCCGATAACACTCCCTCTTTTGGAATAAAAAGAGAACCTTCAAAGTCTATAACAGTGGTCTCTAAATAAACCTCTAGAATTCTCAATAAACTCTTTATATCAATCCCAGAGGCAGACTGAAGCTTCACAAGATTATCATCGCACCATTTTCTTCTCATTAACAGCTTCGACTTATCCATAGAGTAGTATAAGTCCTTGATGTCTAAAGTTGTTACATCACACCTTCTCCCGTGATGCAGATTCAATATTTTAATCAATTGCTCAGAACTTCTTTATGACAACGAACTGTCGAGCTTTACCCCTTGTGATGATCATTTTTTATTACGGTTTAGGAAAGCCATTGCGTTGCACACCCAATGGTTCTGAACCATCGCGTGTGGCTCATTCTTTGGAGGTCGGAGGTGGTACATAAAAGGTAGCATGTCAGCGTCCACATCTCCTCAGAACTAACAGGGAGCGCCCAAGTGTCAGCGTCTCAGCTTTATAGGTCATCCAGTTTGAGATCAAGCCTCCGCTTGATTTCGACATTGCGGCAAAAAGTTCACCTGCTTCTGCCGATCTGTCTTTGTCATCATCGCCTTTTTTGCACTCGCTCTATAATATTATGTATATGGGTAAAACAAAACTATGTTTAAAGACGAACTTTTTTATTCTTAGATGCTACGTTCAGTGCTCAGACGCTCGAAACGGGAGCCATCTCACCGACTAAAAGAGCTTCCCAAGCTATGTTGAACGTTAATGCTGTTTGGCGTGAATGTCATTTTTAATCTTGTCTGGAGTGATGAAAACACATTTACAACATATGCCAATAGATCTTAAATACTAAATTCCTTTGAGATATCTGTCTAGCGGGGGTAATACGTAGTTAAACAAAAAATACAATGGAGTTTCAAAACTAGAAACCTGAGTCAGGGTAAGGGTGTTTTGGCTGCATACTCGGAATAGAAAGAAAAAAGAAACAGGTGAAACGGGACATTATGAGGCGTGATTAAAATCAAAAGAATTGTAAAGAAATTCAAAAATATACGAAAGAGTCGGACGAAGAGGACGGACAGGACATCTTCGTCTTACTCTTGTATATTTTTGAATTTATTAATAACGGTGCTCAATCCAAGTTTGTAAAGAAAAACGCTCTAAGAAACATAAAAAAACAAAAGACTTGATGCGTGGGATTGTCTCTCGGCGGATCTCATATTCTCAAAAATGTGCCTTCTCGTTCTCATCTTCCTTCACCAATGATTATTGTCACATAAAACAGAACTAATGCTGTCGTTTCAACATTTTTTTTTTCATCGTAACCTCGGGTCATACCGTAATGCTCCTATTTTCCCGGATTTCACCATACTTTTTTTTTTTCATTTTTCACTTTTATGTGTGTGAGTGCTCTGCCATTCACTCCTATCACTCTACATCTATCTCAATACCCTATCTAGTTCATCACCATTTTTGCGTGACTATCGCTTAAAGGCCTGTTTATTGTTTCGCATCTATGTGACACTCAAATTTTGTTCAGATAGGAGCATCACCAGGTTCTCCTCAAAACGGCTTGCTCCGAAGTAGCGTGTGCACTATTTAAAGTTAGTAACAAAAAGGAGATTCTCAGTTTCTTATAAGTTACATCAGACTCCAAAGATGGCGCTCGTCTGACAACTCTCCCTCGCTATGAATAAGAGCTACCTTTGAACAAACCCCTCCCCCCCCCCCCCCCCCACCCCCAAACGAGCGTCTAAGCACTCTACGTTCAGTCATTCCTATGACCATATTCCTAATCATATATTTATCCAGAAATCTTTAATCTATAATTTTGGATTTACAAGCAGGAGTGCGGACTTAGGGTTGTATTTACCTTGATCTTACGAATAGATTAAATGTACACAAAATGCCCTGTTCCGTTGCATTCTGTGGCTTGCGGTTAAATTTGTTGAGCATGTGGAAAAGCAAGAGTAATTAATTATAAAAATACTAAACGTAATATAAATATCGATACAACAAAAAAGTGGAAGCCGTTTACAACTCCCTGTAACGCCGAATTGGAGCGCAGCTCTTGAGGAGAAGGAGTGAAGGGTACTGAGGGAAGGGGAGACCCCTCCTCCTTCTCCTCCTCCTTCCCTCATTCTTTAATATGCTCGGGGGGGGGGGGGGGGGGGGTCACGTGACCTTGGGGGGGGGGGGGTGTCACGTGACTTCGGGGAGATCCTGGGACGCAATCCCGATCTCTCTAGCTGTGAAGTTTCAGAGACGCTAAAGGTGTTCAAGTCTTGCTGCCGCGGATTGTCATTTACGCACGAGACTCCTAAAGACGGAATTATACAATTTCTTGACCTCAAGCTAAGTTTTCTAGGTGAGCACATTTGTTGGGAGTACTCCCCTAGATCTAAGAAGGGGGTCCTTCCCTTCAATTCCTGCCACTCCAAGCTAGTGAAGAGAGGCATCGCGAGCTCGTGTATGGAGGCGTCTCTCAGAAAGTCTTGCCTGCATAGCGCCCACGATAGCTTTGTCAGACAAGTAGATCGTCTGCAAAAAGGGGGTTTCCCAATGAGCTCATTGGTCGAAGTGGCTGGGAGCTTGATAAAGAAGTTCAAGGGGACGCAGAAACCACCGCGCGAAAAGAGCAACGTACGGCCTGTGGTGATACCATATATGCACGGTGTCTCCCATAACCTTAAGAAGGTGGCTGGGCGCTATGATGTCCCGGTCGTATTTTCAGCGCCCAACAAAATGTCGCGATTATGCAGAAGAATTAATGATCCACAACCGATAACTGACCCGTGCCATACCAAGCACAGGAATAAGTACACTGATTGCGCAACCGCCGTCGTTTATGAAATACCAATGACGTGTGGTTTAAGCTATGTAGGGCAGACTGGAAGGTGTATTAATGATCGGGTCCGCGAGCACGCCGCTTCAACTAGAACTACACCGTCAGGGCATTTGGCTGTACATTGCAAAAGATGCACTTGCGACCCATCATGTGACAGCACTAAAATATTGGCGAGGTACAGAAACAAAGTGTCACGCGAGCTTCACGAGGCATTTGAGATTAGGAGAAGGGGTAAAAAATGCATTAGCGATACATCATTGGCTCTGTCTACGAATGAGTTTGAATATTTGAAACGTGGTCTGGGCGGAGACTAACGTGACGTGTGGTGTCTGATAGTGTGCTCCCATTGGTATATAAGTTTGTGTTTTTTTTTCCTAATAAATTCAGTTGAGAGTGCGCCCTGTGTCGTTGTCAATCTACTCTTTGTCCGTGTTTTTTTGGCGCTTATTTTCCCACGATGTACCAACTGGCCCATCTAAGCATTTTATTGCAGTTCATTTCTCTTACAACGTGCTCTGTTCAATGTTCCCCTTCCACCCATCATTCGGTCCACACCCTTATTAACCTCATCGCTACGTCATGCTGCCGAGCCAGGCAGTATTCGTATGCCATTCGTCGAGGCACCTGCCCGAGCGAAATAACGTCCCTCTTCAATGGAACCCAGCCGTCAACTGGTCACGTCAAAAGAATGTGCAGAATTCTCCGTTCCGAGACGTGGAAACAAGTGGAACGCTACAGGGACTGCCTGAGGATCCGGTGTCACGCAGGCGGAGTTGGAGAGGCTTCAGCGGAGAGCGCATACAGAACGCACCTCCGGACCGCCGCCCAATACACGGAGTTCTTCTGGGAACAAGCAAGACCGCTGCTGGTAAAGAGGAAACGTACGGAGCGCCCAGCTGCCCCGTCAGGAGGGCAAGCAGAAGTCACCTTGTTAGGTGATGCGAGGCTTCCACCGGACATCAAGTCAGCTCTAGACCACGGACCGAAGTTTTGCCATGAGCCAGGGCTACGCCCAGTGGAAAAGCTATCACTGGTGAGATGGATAGGTGAAAAGGCCAAACCCGAAGACAAAGATCGATGCGTGGCGGACGGCGTAGACGTACTACAGCGCACTTCCGGAATCTCCCCAAGGGGCTTCAAGTTCGGCCATATCATCGACCACTTCCTGAGTCACGATTTGAAGCTGCTTGCAGCTGACAAGGAGGGAGGCTTTGTGGTTGCCCCCCTTGCCCTGTATAGTACCAGGACGAGACAGGCCATCGACAGGAACTTCATGCTGGTGAATCCTGGTGCCCTAACGAAGGTGAGGGACCGCGCGCTGGACTTGTGCCGTTCCTTGGAGCTGCCCACCGTTCTGAAAAATGTGAAAGCCAGCAAGAAATTGATTTTGGACATATTTTTCACCGCTAAGACTCATAAACCTGAGTGCCCTTTCAGGGCGATAGTGACAGAGAGAGGCACGTGGCAGTCGCAGATAAGGGACTATTTGCGCAATCATTTGTCTGGGTTAAAACTGGACGACCCGTTTGCCGCAAGGAACTCTGAGTGCGTCATTGAATTTTTGAGCAACGCTCACCATGGCATGCGCAGTGGCTTTTCCGTAGATGTCCAGGATTTGTTTTATTCCATCCCTTATGAGCCCCTCTTCCTTGCGGTAAGAGACTGCATCGACCTGAGTGGGGTTGCGGCTTTTCAGAGCTCTTGTGGTGTCAATGTTGAGGCTTTCCTTGAGCTCCTGTCTTTTTATTTAAAGAACACGTTTGTGACGTTTGAGGGAGGTGTTTATTTACAAAAGAAGGGAATTTGCATCGGTGCCAGTGTCGCGCCGGTTTTGTGCAATATCTTTTTAAGTAAGTGCGGAAAGGCGATAGCGGATAGCTCTGATATGAGTGATGGCAAATACAGGATGATTTTCTCATCCTGGGACGCAATCCCGATCTCTCTAGCTGTGAAGTTTCAGAGACGCTAAAGGTGTTCAAGTCTTGCTGCCGCGGATTGTCATTTACGCACGAGACTCCTAAAGACGGAATTATACAATTTCTTGACCTCAAGCTAAGTTTTCTAGGTGAGCACATTTGTTGGGAGTACTCCCCTAGATCTAAGAAGGGGGTCCTTCCCTTCAATTCCTGCCACTCCAAGCTAGTGAAGAGAGGAATCGCGAGCTCGTGTATGGAGGCGTCTCTCAGAAAGTCTTGCCTGCATAGCGCCCACGATAGCTTTGTCAGACAAGTAGATCGTCTGCAAAAAGGGGGTTTCCCAATGAGCTCATTGGTCGAAGTGGCTGGGAGCTTGATAAAGAAGTTCAAGGGAACGCAGAAACCACCGCGCGAAAAGAGCAACGTACGGCCTGTGGTGATACCATATATGCACGGTGTCTCCCATAACCTTAAGAAGGTGGCTGGGCGCTATGATGTCCCGGTCGTATTTTCAGCGCCCAACAAAATGTCGCGATTATGCAGGAGAATTAATGATCCACAACCGATAACTGACCCGTGCCATACCAAGCACAGGAATAAGTACACTGATTGCGCAACCGCCGTCGTTTATGAAATACCAATGACGTGTGGTTTAAGCTATGTAGGGCAGACTGGAAGGTGTATTAATGATCGGGTCCACGAGCACGCCGCTTCAACTAGAACTACACCGTCAGGGCATTTGGCTGTACATTGCAAAAGATGCACTTGCGACCCATCATGTGACAGCACTAAAATATTGGCGAGGTACAGAAACAAAGTGTCACGCGAGCTTCACGAGGCATTTGAGATTAGGAGAGGGGGTAAAAAAATGCATTAGCGATACATCATTGGCTCTGTCTACGAATGAGTTTGAATATTTGAAACGTGGTCTGGGCGGAGACTAACGTGACGTGTGGTGTCTGATAGTGTGCTCCCATTGGTTTATAAGTTTGTGTTTTTTTTCCTAATAAATTCAGTTGAGAGTGCGCCCTGTGTCGTTGTCAATCTACTCTTTGTCCGTGTTTTTTTGGCGCTTATTTTCCCACGATGTACCAACTGGCCCATCTAAGCATTTTATTGGACTTCGGGGAGGCGTGACTAGCTGGGGGGTCACGTGACCTTGGGGTGTCACGTGGGGGTCACCTTGGGGGTCACGTGACCTCGAGGTGACCTTGGGAGGGGTCACGTGACCTCAGGGAGTCACGTGACCTGAAGGGGACCACGTGACCTGGAGGGGCCACGTGACCTCGGGGGGTCACGTGACCTTAGGGAGGAGACCACGTGACCTCGGAAGGGTCACGTGACCTGGGGGTCGCGTGACCTTGGGGTGACCTTGGGGGTCACGTGACCTGGGGGTCACGTGGCCTTCAGGGGGTCACCTTGGGGTCACGTGACCTTGAGGTGACCTTGGGGTGACCTTGGGGGTCACGTGACCTTGGGATGACCTTGGTTACGCCGACGGCGACGCCGCTCAAGCCGGAAACGGGCGCCTAAGAGCTGCGCTCTAAAAAGAAAAGAAAATATGTTCAAAGCCAGCCACAAACCCTATTGAATGCAATAAAATAATATCTTCTGCTGTCCACTCTATCCATACGATGAAGCTTAATAAAGCATATAAGTTTATAACAGAACATAAATTCATGCCCACTCATATAAATTCATAATCGCGCATATATCATAAACAGTCAGATGATCCAAACAATTGAACATAATTGTCGAAGTTCTGGTGATTGTTCATTACCATCTTGGAAAAAAAGTCTAGTATAGCTTAACGGATAAAAGAAAACGTAAAGTAGATCTATATTATACTGACACTCTGATTTTACGATGTCCGCAAAGATAGCGCACGTAACTTGCAAATATTTGACTTGAAGATCAAGCATGTAGCATCACGTACAGATATATCATCTTCGGCTGACTTTGCTCACAGGCAACGAGGACCGACTGGAACTGGTTCAGCGAAGCATTCTGATTTTGTGCCTGGATGAACCCATGACTCTGATGAAGCCCTGGGAAATACACAACCCGCTGTACATGCTTGTCGGGGGACCGAACGCAGAGTATGGAGGAAACCGCTGGTACGACAAAACACTCCAGGTGCGCCCCACTCTAGCCGCAAAGGTCGCCGTGCTTCAGAATTTGGTTGTAGCGCCGCATTCTTGGGGTCTTAGTAAAGCGTCGTTGCCATACAAGTCTTTCCAATTTGTGAAAGATGACCATAAGTGTTTACGTGCCGAACCAATGAATGGCACGTGACATGCCCCAGTATGGTACTGCATGATTAATTTTGACAGCCTAGACATCTTTGGTGGTGCAACTGAAATTTTTGTTACATGGTGCCTTCTCCGTGATAAGCCTCCATCAGATTACAGGCATCTCGGGCTGTATTGTAATTTCTTTCAAGTGAGTAGATGTAAGAGTTTTGTTATTTTATTATGATGCTGCTTCATAGATGATTTTAAGCTCAGAGTTATATTTGTGCCATCTTTTGTCTCGTGACGAGTAAAGCACAATGCTGTAAGTGAGGGCCTGAAAACATGAGACTCAAAGCGCGTTCGCAGTGGACGCAAGAAGCGAATGCTATACTCCGCCCAAAGCTAAGCTGACAGGGAGGTTGAAGCTACAGGACAGTTAGGCCAGTCATACGTCGGCCTTTCACCACATGATCATTCTCCCCGGCCGCATTTCCGTTAAGAGAGCAAGGTCTGGTGATTAAACTTAAGCTGTTGATTGGTCCGGATAGCGCGTAACTCCCATCACCCTGTCAACTTATCGGTAAACACTTTGTTCTAAGACGCAATTTCCTAGCGCGAGCGCTTGTTAAGCGAAAACACGTATCAAATCTGCAATGTCGTGATGTCTCCTTGACGTCCTTGAAGAGAACAGTTGCGATAGCAGGCTCGCCAACGATAGTTTCGCGTGCATGCTTTTCTCCGTATACGCGTGGGGCATACGCCAAGACACCTTTTTTGCAGTAGACGAAGATGCAGAGCAGAACGTGACAACAGGACATGGCCTACGCAGTGCCCTGCTGAACTTCTCCCCCTCTGCTTTGTCTTCGTTTTTCTTTTTGCGCTTTACTCTTAAGGCGAGATACCATTTGCTAAAAATTGGGACGACTGCGGGCTCTGACCGCGCGCAGTCTTTGTCCGTGTAAAGGTTGTCTACTGCAACCTAACCCAACCTAACCTAACTGTTCTTGTTCTGCTCGCAATAAAAACAGTTGTGCAGAGCGACCTTACCGCGTTGCCAAGTGGAGGAAGCATGGGCCAAGCGCATCGACATCCAGCCTACTTTTCCCGTCATGCTCTCTGTCAATCTCTTTGCTTTTGGAAAGTAGTATATTCGCAGTTAACAACCAAATAATGGATTCGTGTCTGCCGTCATAGATGAGTCGTTGAGAGAGGAAATCGCTTGAACCGCGGTGTGAGTCGGTGTTGGTACTGCTTCGGCCGCAGTTCGTGGTGGGAGCTGAGGGGAACGTTGGCATGATCTTGGAGCACTCGCCCTGCGATGGCACGGTCGTCGTTCCCCTCCTGGATCACACCTTCACCTACATGTGCGTACCCTGTTCACCTTCGCTCCAACGTTCATTCCAGCATTAAATTCAACTTTCATTCTATCATTTATACTACCCTTCAGTCCAGCCTTAATTACTCCCCGCTTCTTGATGTGCAATGTGTCTTGAAATGTGGTGCGAGACGCATGCCCCGCATGCCCAACGAAATGTCATACGGGCCGTGTGACGCGTCAGACAGGTGGCCGCTCCTCATGCTATTCGATTCGGTCATCTTTCCCGCGCAGAAATTCAATGTATATTTTTAGATCAGAATGCTAAAAAACGTTTCCCCAATTAGTTACTAAAATTACTACAATTTGACAGCAACTTTCTTCTTTTCGATCGCAGACACGACTAAACAACATGTTTACGTCGAAACGCCGTTCATTTTTGACTGGGTTACGTCTGATGCCATGAAATTAAATGATGGTTTCTGAATAGGCCTGGAGGCATTATTGGTTGGCTTAGAGCCAAGGAATACGCTACACCTAGAATGTCTGCGTGGTCCTTTCACTGACTTTCATGTGGGCGCCGCCATTTTGGTGCTTAGCGCAGAGTGGGTGAAATTGGCGATTGTTACTATTCGGAAACGCGACTTTTTGATCTTTAGATACAATGGGAAGCTCGGGCAGCACTGGTTTGCTTTGTCGCGGACAGGTTTATTTCTTGTGGATGGAAGGCAAAACTGGGTAATTTTAGGCACCAAGATGACTGAAGAGTGGTTACTCTGATAAGTAGCTCATTGAGTGGCTCTATGTTTTTTTTTTTTTTTTTTTTTTTTTTTTTTTTTTTTGTAGAGCTCTATATTATAAAGATTTTAAACACTTCGAGTTAAACATGGTTAACATGGTAACATCGTAACATGAACCAGGTAGTGCGTTCATTGTTAACGAATCGATCTTGCACCGGGAACTCGCCTCGAAAGTGAGAAGGAAAAAGACACAAAGTGCTGTCGTGTCCGCTTTCGTGTAACGTGTTTCAACGCATCGGCAGAAAGCACCCGTAGAGTAGAATTCGCAGAGCCTGGGCGTCACGTTCCGGGCTGGGTGATCAGTGCCTCGCTCGCTATTCGAAGGAAGAAGACATCCAAGCAGACCCCAGAATCGGCTTCCCGCTTCAACGAGAAACCCTTCGAGATTAAGTTCGAACTCTCTGCGGAGACACTCGCTGACATCGAACAAGCAAAGACCAAGATGGAAAAGTCAGTACCCGATTCGCTCTATGTCATTGTTGTCTTCTGAGTTGACGTAACCAAACTAAATATGCGTCTTGTTGTGCAACAAGAGCAAGCGTACTTGGCCCTCAGTTGTACCGATGACAGCAATATTAATAGCATATCGCTACGATTGTATTTTTAAGGAAATTGCATTAATTATGATGCTCAAGACGAGAGGTCATTTAAAAGGCAGACTAACTTTCTGATGTTTAAGCCTTCATGTAACAAATTTTATTATGATCTGAATCAATGAATACCCTCCGGGGTGTAGATAGTGGAGTCACTTGAAGGTTTAACCAATGTATAACGAACTAAACGAAGCATATTCGGCAACAGCGAGCAGAATTTATCATTTTATTTTTTTCCGAAAGAAAAGTCTATTTTCCAACACGTTTTAATGACTCTCATATGCAAGCTACCAAACAGCTCTTAACCTAGGGTAAAAAGTAGTACACTAAAAGTGTACTAATTTTCTACTTCTAGGAAATAACTCGCAACTTCAACATAAACTTTTAGTTTGAGCGCGCCTTAGATAGCAGACTAGATCGACCCGCTGACCGCACAGCTACAAGTTAATTAAAAGTTTCATTTCACGCGTGACATCACGTTTCACATGACCGTTGTGGGTTGTTTGAAATTCCCGCGCGATATCATGTGGCTGTGACGTCATGACCCTATCGACCGATCAGGATTGGTCGATAGGGTCACGCTACCGACACCGACGCAGACTTCGGCTTTTCTGCGTCACAAGCTCGTTAAAGCTATCGCTTAACCACTAAAATATACAGACAACCACCAAACGGCAATTTATCCTGCTAGAGGACTTTAGGGGGAAAACAGCTAAATTGACAACACTGGCACACATGGACTACGAGCATTCGCATAGCCTATGCACCTACAACGCGTACCAAAATGGCAAATATGTCATGCGATCCATGCCCCGCAGTGGCCCAAATGTTGTTATTCGCGTGCGTGGCAATTCGTTTACGCCAGGGTGTCAACATCACTGATCTCTACTGCAGTAGGCTAGACCGCGGACCCCGGCCTCGGCAGCTGGGGCCGATAGTCGCCACCGGTGGCCATTGATTGACACCACTAAATGCATGGGACTCTACGGGAAAAACAAGAAAAAGTGCCGTTTCCCCCGTTTCTAAGTTGTTGTCGGCACTGAATGGCTGCTTTTCGATAAGTTCGTCAAATAGATTGCGTACAAACATTAAAACTGACAGCCCTCGCAGTTCTTATAGACAAATATTTTGTGGTCGAAAGTGACTCAATGTAGTGCAGCTCAATGAGGCGAGAGTTACCGCGGAGTCGGTGGCGGTTTCGTTGAGTTGGATTTAGCCGACGACAAGCTCGAAGGCTTTGCTACGCGGTATTCGATCACTCCCAGAAAGCCGCTGTCGAGATGGAACCTCTTTGTCATTCGTAAACTTCTAAGCTTCCCCAGGGATGGTCTCATTGACGGCAAGTTCCTTTGTTTGCTCCACTACGAGAGCAAGCTTGCCAGCTCAGCCGTAGGTGCTCCGGTACGTTTGATTTTTTTCAATTGGCGTTCGAACGTTTCACAAATACCGTTTTGATATCGAAACACCCGACATAAGGATCGCAGCACACCATAAAATACTTGCCTCCGAGCAGGCGTACATGTTTCAATATTCTTATTTTTTTGCGTTTCTCCCATAAGCTTGCGTGTATTGCCTGGTGTCAAGCAATGGCCGCCGGTGGCGACACCGACGGGCGCCCGATCCGCGATCCAGCCTACTACAATAGAGATCAGTGGTCAGCCCAGCAAACCCAGCCAACACCACCTAGATAAAAGGCTTCCGAACCGCCTCCACACCCTCGTCACATCACGGTCAGATCGATCGAGGACTGAGATTGAGCACGAGTGCTGTGTCAGTGTTCGGCCGGGTCTCGTGTCCGACCACCACGTCGAAGGTCAGGCTCGGGCTCAGTATCCGAGTTAGCGCGATCCGACTCTGATGACGTTTTATGGAGGGACAGCAGGCCATGTGGAGGCTTTCATTATTCTAGGTGGTGCTGACCCAGCGCCCAGCCGACTGTGTCCTCCAAGCGCTGGACCTGACGTAACGGAGTAAGCGCGAAGGCCTTCTCTTTTTGAAAGGTGTTTGCCTGGTCCCCCGGCACTTGCAGATTATGACCAGTTTTGGCACTAATTTTAGAACGCAAATCTTAGGCTCCGGTTTCCGCGTATAGCGGCATCGGCGTCGCCATCGCCGTCGGCGTAACCGCGCGCGTTGCATTATGGGACGTCACAGACCTAAACACCAGTTCAATTTCCCACTAAATTCAGCGAAGAAACTGATTTGGTGTGTCGGTCTGGGATGTCCCATAATGCAACAATATGCATTCCGTTTCCCCGCTAAAGTTTTCGGCAAAACTGATGTCACATGACCTCAACACCAATTCAGTTTCCCAGCTAAATTTAGCGGGCAATCGATTTGGTGTTCAGATCATGCGGCTTCAGTTTGTCCGCTAAATTTCGCGGGGAAAGCGACTTTGTACATGTATAAGTCACGTGGCATGAAGTGACGTGATAAAATTTTCACCGCTAAATTCAGCGGGAAACTGAATTGGTGTTGAGGTAACGTGACGTCAATTTTCCAGCTAAATCTAGCGGGGAAGTTGCGATGTCATGTGATGTCACAGGCCACTGCTTCACGAGATGCGGCTTCACGGAAATCCGGAGCAGCTAGCCAAAAACGTTTCACCTTGAAACAAACACCGCGCGCGTTGCATTATGGGGCTCTCACAGTACCCTCTTCGTCCTCTCTGCCCTACCCTTAAACAAAACAACAAAAAAATCAAATATATATATATCTATATATTTCTCTCTCAAATTCTCTACCACGGCATATCACAAAATCAACATACCTCAAGAGCGGCGCTCTAATTTCGCATTACAGAGAAGTGTAAACATCTGTATTTTTTGTGTTTTTATACATTGTAATTAATATTATGATTGTGGTTAGTAATGCATTTATGGTACCGCATAGATCAAGAAACGCAGAGCGTGTTTTTGTGTTCACGCTTCTTGCTTCGGTTGTTCGTTTTTCGGCATTATTGTTTAATGCTATAATCTCATTGACTAGTTAAGAACAATAAGATGCTCGATATTCGACACGCCCGGTATTTTTAATGTGTAATTTACTATAGATTAATGACAAGCAAACGCAAAGCTATATTCGCAAGTTCCAGCCAGTATGGTGGGGGCGCTGCGGTAATCAAAGATGGCGGTCTAGAGGGGGATCGGTTCGCCGTGTGCACCGTAATTCAGTGAGGTCGACGTGTTTTGCGACACAACATACTCTGCAATTGACTTTAAAATATTACTAGTTCATTCGTTTTTAAAATGCGCGGGCAGCTATTCAAACACCTAGTTGCGGGTCACGCAACTGAAGGTTGAAAACAATCGGCACCGACGCCCCGACGAGGTCAAAATGGGGATCGTTTTGATATGAGAGGTTCAGCAAGATCGACCATCCTTCGGAAACGAAGTGTGGTGCGATGGACATTCGATTGTTTTATAACGCACGAACAGTTAGCCCATTCGAGAACACCCACCGGTTGACTGGTCACGCAACGTAAGCGTGGAAAAATAAGCGCCGCGACCACATTTATGCGCTGCTATTCAGCCTCCATATATACTGAATGATGCACCGCCGCGTTAAACGTGATTTATCTTATGTTGTGGGCTTTAACCGCCAACAGACAGTGCAGCAGAGGACGACGAGCGGTAGGAGACATCTCTTCAGACCAGCGATCAAACTTTGACCATTGCCTGCTCGGATAAGTGCCAAAAATGTTCGGAAGTGACGAACGAACGAATCAGGCAAGCGGCTAGGTTCGCGGCGAGGAAGTGAACATGGTCCAAGTTTTGTTTACGTAAATATTGCACTACGGTGGACTCAAATTGGATCGCTACATTGCCAATCTGCAAATACGGATGACTTTACAGAAGCACCGAATCATTCGCATACATCGCTCAATGATTGCCCTAAGAGTTATACGCTATCATTCTGTGCATTACGCACGGCAGCACGCGTCCAAACATTGCAGTCGTATGCAGTCCTTTTACACATGTCCAAAAACATTAAGGAGATAATTCCTGAACTCGTAACACTTTAATTGACGTCAAGAAGCATGATTTCAAGTCGCTATGCTATACTCGGTGTCGAGCAAACTCAAGACGCAGCAGGTATTGCTCAGTTCCCACTTCGATCAATATGTTTCAGCGCTCCTCATACACAATATAAAAAGAAAGATTCTTAATAAAACCGCGTCTTTAATCGGAAATTGTATTCAACGAAACAGGCCGGCTGCAAATGTAACCGTGACAAGCTCACGGGCGAAAGCGATGGAGCAGTCACATAGCGCAAGCACTGGAACCGCGATTTAGTCTCCATAGTGCACGCCGTGCACTTGGCCTTGTTATATACCAAATAAGAAAACATTTAACCTGTTTTTCGTTGTGAGAACTAACCTTCAAAATCTATACGGGAGCGCTTGTTTGTAATCCATCGCCCGTCACAACTTCCGCTTCTAGCTCGGCAAGCGGGAAGCACCTACGCTGATGACATCGACATTTACGCTTTCACAGTCACTGTCATGTTCAAAGGCAGCTCCACGAGAGTTAGCAACCACCGAGCACACATTGTTCCTGACGAATACTTTTCAATGTCGAGTAGGAGTGAAGTCTGGAGAAACCGAGGACCGAACGGGCAGCGTCGCGCGGGGGATTTGGTGACGAGTGGACGCCGACCGTGCTTTCTTCGGCGTCTTAATTGCGCGGTAGGGTTTTGTAGCACATCACGTTACCCGTTTAACGTACTACCACCACGTAACGTAATTTTCGGCGGTGTTCGTGAGCCTCCGTCAGCTACGCTATGGGCCTACGCAGGCAAAAGAAATTCCCCCTCTTTACGTTTCCGAAGTTGGCCGCCAGGGCAGCGACACCGTAGGTGGAACTTGGGAATAGTCGCTAACAGCCACTGACAGCTTCAGAAACGCAGGGCGTGGCTTACGTTCACGCTTCTCGCTTCGCGATTCGTTTTTCTATCTTCTTATCATTAAATGTCGCCATGTCACTGACACCGGAGCATAAATGCGATGATTTGTTGCACGATCCCTCAAAGGTCATCCTGGTGATATTCCACAACGCCTGGTGATAGTTACAAAGCTGCAGAGGAGAAGCAAATTGGTCTTGAAGGGCCAACGAAGGAATCATACTTTTGGTTTTTAATTTCCGAGCTAGGTGCCGCAAGCTACCGCCCGTTATATTGGGTGCAGCCGTGAGCATCCATCCAACTGTGTCAAGCCCTCGCCGCACTTTGCGTTTATCTAAGCTGTCAGCACTATGGTCGTTCATACTTAACTTAATTTTTTTTTTTGTGCCTTCTAGGTTGGCAAGGGACGTGGACGTGATTGACTACCGCTTCGAAGAGTTCGGCAAGAATTTCATCAAGACGTGCAAACTGAGCCCCGACAGCTTCATCCAGGTCTCCTTACAGCTCACTTTCTACCGGTACGTCTCTTCGACACTAAGGTTCCCCTCTCTACGGGATGGGTAAATCCTCTGAGCACTGCTTTCGTAAAGCGCACTTCTGTGCACACTAAAATGGTTTACACTTTTAAAAGAAACACGAAACTCTCAGCGCCCATTTATAAGTAGCTACACGTATGTCGCAAACTAAACTTCATCCCGTAGAAAACAAGTACTTGGCGTAATATTTAGGAATATTTCGAGTTTTTGATGCACGCTTCGATTTTGAACAACCCAAAATGCAACCGCGTCATACGTGTCATATCCAAGGACTCAAAGAAATTTTTGAAGTGCTCATTGTCGCTTAGAGGGTGATTTTAGGTTTGTCGCGGGGCTAACGAGGGTCAGGAGGATTAAGGTTATCTATAGAAAAATCCTATACTTCATTTCACAAAAAGTCCGTGCGTTCAACCATAACAGCCAATAGAGTCATTCAAGCAGCACCAAAACAGCCGTTATGGCAGTGTCCTCGTGCGCATGTACGAGCATGCATGGTGCGCATGCTCTCAACCGGGTTAAAACTTTCCTAAAAAAAAACGTGCTAAAATTTATATTCATTCTTAACTTTATGTTTTGTTTGACATGAGAAGTTTTCATAAAAACGCACTCATGAACAAAAAATACATCACTGCATGGCGTCAAACTAGTTTCCAAGTTTCGGTCTGTGCTGGCCGAATCTTTGCAAAACTAAAAAAAAAAAAAACAAATCGGAAAATGTAGTACTGTCAAATCAGAAGCTTCTGCGCCGAAACTTTTATGTGGCGGTAGTTTGCTGTATTACTAATACCAGTCTGTACGAATTGCCATCAACGCCGTAGCCTTGACATGCAAGGTACAACAGAGGATATAGCGATACAGGTCATGCATCGGTTATTTTTAATAAACGCCAAGCTCTTAAGACCCTCGTGAAATTTATTGCCGGTGACAGGTTTTAGAGGAAGCTCCTCCCACCTCTTTCCACTTGAGCAGAGCGAACGCTGGAAAGGAAGTCGCCTCCTCTCCAGCATTTGCTCCGCTAAAGTAAAGGGGAGTGGGAGGATCGAGCTTCCTCTGAACTCTTAACCTGTCACCGGCTATACTCAACTCAAGATAAAACAAGGACCTCCTCGAATAATCATTTCCGGAACCATGGACGTAATCTTGTGCGCAGGTTGCATGGTCACACTCCGTCCACGTACGAGAGCGCCTCGACGCGGATGTTTTTGCTGGGCCGCACCGAGTGCATCCGGTCGCAGTCGATGGAGAGCGACGCCTTCTGCCGAGAGTACGTCAAGGGCAAGCTCAACTTGTCCGAGACAGAGGTACTGCTGCGAAACGCCGTCGAATCGCACAAGGAGTACGCCAACATGGTGAGCCAGCAGCGGTTTAAGACTCGCCCTGCCATAGACCATCTTCAAAGGTGTACGCTATCCAGTAGCAGCTACGCCAATTATCTGAATCCACCATTGTTTGGGCACTTACCTTAAGTATATGTATTGGACACGATGGGCTGCTTCAGCGTTGGCAATGAACTTTGCTCAACTCGTGCCTAAACCGAGTGTGGCGTCGGCATGTCACGAGGACTCGGATTTTGTCCCACGCTTCGTTCCCAAGAAATGGAGATCACCAATGTTGCTCGGTTAGGTTTTGAAAAGAAGGGTCTCTTGCCATGCTGTGCACCATTCCACAAAAGTGTTCTTGGTAGGTACCGTTTTGAATGTCAGTGCGTTTTGTGCGTGTTTTATTACCGACACCACGTAGGACCATCGAGGCCCGTAAACAGGTTTCCGTTCCTACATGGAACACCATCGCCCTAGGATAGCACCAACTTGGCAATTGGGCCCCAGCCCAATGCCAAGCCTCTCTGCGTCTCTCTTTGTCTTGCGCTCGACCTTGGTGCGATGACGTCAAAATTCTAGCGTACAGGCTGTGATAACTCTACTGTCACTGTCAGCGTAAGAAAAGCCGGTAATGGCGAGTCCACAGAATTTTATCATCGTTCCGCAGCTCTTTCAGATCCGTTTCTTAACTTGTCAGTGGCTACAGGTCGTTTCCAAAGTCGTCTTCTGCGCGCTGCCATCCTTGTCTTCTGTGCTGTGGTGCCGTGTAACGCGTTTCTAGCATCTCTTTTTTCGAGGATTATCGAACGCCGCGCATGCGTCCATAACTCAGTGGCTCAGCGTTTTTCGTCTGAGAGCTAAGCATTGTAAAGGTGTATAGATGGTGCTGGCTTTTCTTGTAAACAGCGGCGGGATCTACAGTCACTGTCAGCCTAAGAGACGCATACCGTGGCGAATTGCGAGCACATCTTATCTTACACTTGTAGGAGCTGGATTGAGAGCAACCAGTACAGACAGCGGTAGGATTCGAACTGATTTTATGTACCCGAAACGCGCGAGCCCCGCCTCTTCTTCATCTTCTTTTGTAGACCGCCTTGTGCTGACCGTGAGGGTCGCTATAAGGCTCCCCCTTGTAGAGCAATGGATGCCGGAGGAGCCCAAGTGATGCACTGGGGTCTAGGTGCAGACGCCGGAGGTGGCAATGGGGTGGGGATGGCAGAGGCGGGCGTGGGCAGGGCAGTGTCCAGGGTGGCCGGTTTGACGCGGTCTGTAGCCACGACGTCATTATGACCGTTGATGTCGAGAGTGTAGGTCTTGACCTGGCGATCGAGTACTCTGAGAGGTCCATCGTAAGCTGGTGTAAGAGGTCGGCGAATACGATCGCGCCGTAAGAAGACGTGGGTGCACGACTCAAGGTCTTGGATCATGAAAATGTGTTGAGGATTCCTCTGAGCGGGAAAAACTGGTTGCAGCTCACGAATGGTTTGTCGAAGGTCTGCGATATAGCTGCTTTGTTTGTGATGAGAGTCGGGAGAGGTTGGAGAGAAAAAGTCTCCAGGGAGGCGCAATGGGGAACCATATACCAGTTCAGCTGTCGTACAGCCGAGGTCGGCTTTGAGCGCCGAGCGAAGGCCCAGGAGGATGAAGGGAAGATGGTCGGCAACGCTCGTTACGCTCATCACGAGTTCGAGCACATGCTCGAACTTGGAATCGTTTGTCCATCGTCGAGTAACTGGGCATCACCTCTTCACATGGTAGCCAAGAAAGATGCAGGCGACTGGAGACCATGTGGTGATTATAACGTCCTGGTCACCAAATCTGTAGGCGCTAGATTCAGAGCAACCAGTACAGACAGCGGTAGGATTCGAACTGCTTTTATGTGCCCGCGACCGCGCGAGCTCTCGCCTCTTCATCTTCTTTTGTAGACCGCCTTGTGCTGACCGTGAAGGTCGCTATACACTCAACGGCCAATGAAACATTTTGGCATTAGTCGACAAGAATTGGTGCAAGAAATCAATCCCGAAGCAAGAAGTGTGAACTGATTAAGTCCGTTTTTGTATTTCTTGAGCTTTCATGAACATTTCAACTGGGTGCCACAGAGAAATCGGGATCGTCCGGTTCGACTTGCACCCTCGTATGCCTACCAGGATGCAAGTCAAGCCCACATTAAAACATCTCTTTTTCGGCCTGAGCCAAAAGCATTTGTTAGGTCTTTGGGTGAGAGCGACATATCAGATGAGCCGTACATCGCTTCTCTTCGTTTAACCGACCATCCACTAACTGTGGAGCTGAGATGCCGAGGTATTAATAAAATAAAATGGCTAAGAACTAAACTTTGGTACACAGGTCGTAAATGCAGCATCCTGCAATGTTCAAAACGAACTCTCCTGTTTTTCTCGCTCGACAGCTGTTTATCTACACTTACCACGTTTTACATATGCTTTCAAAGCACGAAAACACTGCGGAATACCGTGTGGCGGGATTCTTTCGAAACTATACGTGTCTATCGTATTCAAGCACACAACGGTTGTAAGATTGACGAGATTTATTTCTTTAACGTAAGCTGATAATAGTACAAGGAGAACCCTGAAGGGGCGGCGTTCCTGGCGGGGAATAAATGGACACAAAAAAGAGAGAACAAGAGTATGAGAAGAGCACAAGAGCCCACCGACAGCGTGCGATTGCGAGTTTGTTGACTAACAACGATCAGTAACTAGTACTACTTACATATAGGGTGTGGAAATGGCGTTGCTGTTTAAGATTGCGGTAAGACGCTAATTGTAAGCCCCTTAAAAGATGCAGAACCTATTCGAGCAGAAGAGTGAAAAGTGGTTGATCTCTAGTCAAGGCATGCTGCATAAACGCGAGAAATTACCAGACGCGCTATCTGAACAAAGCAACGTCTCCAGAATATTTGTGCACATTGCCACTCGATGTCAATCAATCCGGATAACGGTCGGCGTCAAAATGCTTAGATCTAGATGGTCAAGGACAAAAGAATCATATCATAATGGTCCTGGTCCAAATGGTTCCCGCCATAACGAACGCAAGTGCGAATTCGGGTAAGATGGTTCCAGTCAAAACGCGTCTCATTCAAAATAGTTTAGGACAAAACGAAACCAATTATAATAATTCCAGTCACAGTGATCCCCGTCATAACGCTCGCAAGCGTAGACTCGGGCAAGATGGTTCCAGGCAAGGTAGTTTTGGGCGAAATGACCCGCAGAGCCCACTTTTCTCCGGCCAAATTTCGTTGGTTGTTCCCCGCATATTCGAGCCAAGAAGTTCGGCCTAAGAGCCTCCGCCCACAGATTACGGAATAAAAACATAATTTTTTCAGGCGTCACAGATACGGACGCCGCGAAACATGCGCCTCAATAACCGCATAGAGATGCTTGGAAATTAACATTACAATATCCTCTTTACCAGAGCCACTAAACGATATATGCTTAGAATATCGGCACTCCATTCGCCGATATGCTAATGGGGTCCGCCATCTTTGTGCTCAGTGCAGAGCAGACGCAACTGTCGATCGTCACGATTAACAAATGCGACTCCCTCAGCTTTAGACACGGTGACAGGAAGCTCAGAGGATATTGTTTTGCTCTTTCGCGAGCCTTTTTAGCAATTTTGAAGGACGGAAAGCATCTCCTGCGATTTCATATAAAGCTTCAGATAACTGGCAACCTTGATTTTAAGCACCAAGATGGCTGAAGTATCGTTGCTCTGAAGCATAGCTTATTTAGTGGCTCCAATCTGCCCCTGACGCCACGCCGCCGCGGCGGCGCAGCTATCGGCAGGGCGCACGCGCAAACTCTCCACTTGACGTGAATCTGGTTTCTGCGCATGCGCAGTGCCCACACTTTATGCGGGAACTGCGCGTTTGTCCACACCTCGTGGGGGCTTCTTTGTAAACAGCGCTTTCACCTATAGCATAGTGTCAGCTGGACTACGTTCGGCACCTAACAGTGCGCAGTATTTGAAGTTTGAACAGAAGGGGACCACTGGCAGAGAAGTCCTTTTTTGGGAAACGAAATCCGCAGTAACAATCGCTCTAACTGCCAATGGCATTCTTTTTAGCGCCTTCAATCGCGCAAGAAAGGCAAGTTTCAAAGCTGGAATGGTAGGCCTGTGAAGCTCTCTCTTTCGCGAGTACTCCTGCAAACGCATCATGCTGTCGAACATCGTTGGGGTCGCCGCCGTGCTTATAGGAACATTATTTATTAGCGCTGCATATGAGCTGTCTATCTAAATATTTCTTTTGGAAGAGAGAACCCCCCCCCCCCTCCTGGCTTGAAATTCCTGGCAACACCTCTCTTCACAGCGCTAATAGAAGCACGGCGGCGACCCCAGCAAAACAGTATGTTCGGCAGCATGATGGATGTGTGTGGGAAGGGGGGGGGGGGGGGAGTTTGAACCCCAAACCTCCCTCAGATGCGTGCCCAATAGACCGATCTCACAGCCACTTTCATTACGCCACCGGTGCCACCATGCATCGTTGGAGCTGTGGTCTTTCTGCACGCGAAACAACGCCGGTAGGGGTCTGCGCGAGCAGAGCACGAGATGGCACCAGCTTACTCGTGAACTGGCGCCCGTCTTCTATGATCCACAGTTATGGCGCCAACACGCATGCGTGGAACGCTTAGTGAAATCTGTCTATCTTCGCTTAAGTTTATACCATATTTCACCTTCCTCTGGCTACGTCCTTAGACCACATGACTGAGTCTCTTGCTGCAGCACGTCCGTATAGAAGGCAAGCTTCCACAATGCTTTGACAGTGTGCATGCCTTGCTGTAGAGATTATCGATCTTGGCCGACAATAAATGAGAGTTCGCGACCCGGCTGATACCCCATGCGTGCAAGCATGTGCAGGACGCACGTGAAGGTAACTTTGGCAAGTTTTTAATTTCGCGTGCTTCCTCACATGGGCAGAGGGATGGCGGCGCCGCACATCCTGCTTGCAATCATATATACATCTTTCCACAAAAGAGCTTCTGGCAATTATTGTTCTAGATACTTGCGCGTTTAGTCCCCGCCCCTTCACTTGCGAAAGTGACAGCTTTGAATCAGCTGGATTGTTTTTGTCGGACGCCGGACTACTAGTACTTTTGCTCAGCAGTGCAAAGGAAATGCAATGTCACATTGTATATTATTTATTTTGACAAAAATGTTCGAGGGGTCAGGGCGAACGAAGACGAAATTATCAACTGAAGGGATACTACGTCCCCTGGTGCGCGTCTCGAGGCATGGGAAATTTGACTGACCATAGTATTTTGCAACGTAAGATCTGCGGGAAAAGTTCCGCCTCTAGCACGCCCTCATTGCCTTCTGTCGCGCTATACTTGCACGTGCGCGAAAGCGCTTCCGCAGGTAGAAAGCTCGCGCTGGAGGGGGAACTTCTTAGGTGTCTCAGTCGCACTGCGCGCGGCTACTGGGTCGCTCCGGCGCCGACAACTGAGGCAAGCGAATTCAGTTGAGTGCCAAAGCCAGACCCGTACAAACCGGACTCATTTATTCAATAATGTCGTTTCCTACACTTGTGAATAGATTTTATGTTGAAATATTTCATGCGGAATGATTGGACGTCCTCGACAGCGCACTTTGAACGCTTAGTGCCTTTTTGCTTAGCTGAAGGCGCGCATTAACCTCGAAGCGGGTCCGTTTCTAACAGGCGATGTACGGCAAGGGAGTGGATCGTGTGCTTTTGGGCCTCAGGAAAATTGCCGAAGAAAACAACCGACCTGTCCCGGAGCTCTTCAGGGACCCAGGCTACCTGAAGGGCCTCACGTACGCCCTCTGTACCAGTCAGGTACACCCACCGGAAGTTTTTCAGGGTTGTCTGCTGTCTTTGACACTAAAGTGCTAGGAGGCAGACATTGGGCTTATAGATTACCGGACCGGCAATAATTGAAACTTCAAGTCCGATTGTCAAATAGTTTAGTATTGCAGCGCGCTTTCCAAAGAACGGAACAGTGACGTCCGAAATTCGGTTGAGTTAATATGGCTTCATACGAGACTAACGGGTGAGTATCTGGATATGTTTTAGTTGAGTAAATTCATAACGGCCATGAGCGTTGGTGCAATCCAAAATGTCGACTTAGGTGAGAAATCAGATTGTCCTTCACTCCGTGACCATAAGTCGTCATTTTTCGTTGAACTTCTTTTCTCACAGCTAGCTCAAAATAAAAAAAAAAAGTTAAAAACTCTCTCATCCTCACCCTCACGGCCGTAATCACCTTCAAGTCCTCACTCACGAACTCATAGACTCACATAATTCACCGATCTCACGGGGGCAATGCGAGCGGGAGAGCCCTGCCCCCTTTCTCGTCACCCCGCCACGAAGCAGCAACCTGCTGGCAGAAGACCACGCCAAGACGCTGTGAAGAGAGGCGGAGCCTCTCTTCACAGCGTATCTGCGCTCTTTCCTCCTTTCCCGTCACTCGTAGAGAATCAAAAGTACGAGCTAACAGCACCATTTGTGAACCGAGAGCCGACTCAACTTTCCGAAAATATACAGAGAAGTCACTTGGCCTGCCCTTCCTCGATATCACACTGCAAACCCTCATCAAAGTGATGTCCACTCGGGACCTCATACCTGGCCAAACTCATGAACTCATCGATCTCATGTACTCGCGCCCCTCACCGAATTCACAAACTCACGCTCCTCATTGAACTCACGAAGTCACCAAGCTCACGCCCCCTCACCAAACTCACGCCACTTATTCAAACTCAAACACATAAGTTTTCGAGGCTTACGAGCACACTGACCCTCACCTCACGCTTGATCGGTGAGGGTTATTGAAGTGACTGAGTGCGCTCATGAGTGAATATTGCCGAGGTACAGAGCGCGACACTGTTAGCGCGAACAAGCGATCGCCAGTTTTTCCAGTTTTTCTCTTTGAAACGAAGGGGATGTCATCCAAGTTATTATATCTACGGAAAGAGCTCATTTAGTTCTATAATGTAAGCGATAAAACTGCGTGCTCGCTAATACTATTTGGAAGTAAAATGCGAAAATACGCCGATGTCGTGTTTGCGCTAACAGTGTCGCGATGTGTACGTCCATGAACAGATACGTTTATCTCATCGTAACGTGATTGCGAGATTGTGCGACACATCCAGCCTCTGCGGTTATTGTCGGAAATATTTACTTTTTTTATTGGTTCTGCATATTTTTTTGTTTGTTTTCATATCGTCCTCGGGTTGCGCATCATTTGTTCTACCTCCATCCTGATCAACTAAACTAATTAACCATTGACAATTGGCAATCCATCTTTTGTTGGCCTAGCTCATTCATCTCATTTCCACGCAGGCTAACTCGAGTGTACTATAGCATTGACACCGTTGTACATCATGTATACGTCACAGAGGGTGATGAGACCCTAGCCATTTTCTTCTTGCAGGTCACAGCAAGGAACGACATCCTTATGTCCTTCGGCTACATTGTTCCAGGGGGTTACGGGGTGTGCTACAGCAACCAGGATAACAACTTCCGCTTCAGCATCTGCACCAAGCGGCACGACAACGAAGGTTTCACTGCTGAAGGGTTCCGCCGGACGCTGCAGCTCACGCTCGACGAGCTGGGAAACAAATTGCTCATGTTGCAGACGGCCAAGCTGTGAGCGAGTCGACGCGAGGACGGGCGCGCCGTGAAGTCGGCGGCTTTTAAAGAGAAGTCGTGATGATAAGCGAGGATCTTTTAGTTTTGCAATGAGAAAGCTATTGCTCCTTTATACGCGATTACTGTGGAAATCGCCGACAGCAACTTCACAATGGTGCCACGTTTCCTTTGGACAACCTGCGAGGGAAAGTTCACGAGGGCTATATCTTGTGACCTTATTGAAATTTAACAAATCTAAATAAATGAACACGCATGCAATTTACTGAAAGACAATTTTGGCGTTATTGTTACTATTTCGGTTTTGTATTTACGTGTCTTTTGGCTCGTGAGGTAATGGTGGTATGTATATCTACAGGGTGTCACAAAAAAATACGTTTTTTTTTTTACCGCAAGAATAAACTAGGCATTGCCGAGCGCTCATTCTCCGCCCAAAAGTAGCGCTAGCGGTGACAACCAGATGTTAAAGTTTCAGCCCGAACGGACACCTTATTCAAATATTATAAGTGATTTTCCAGAAATTTCAATGGGAAAATTGAGCCTATTTTTTCACGTTTTCGGTTTTTGGTGCCATGTATTCGAAAATTCCGTCGGCCGCCATTTTCCCATTGAAATTTTCAGAAAGTCACCTATAACTTTTGAATAAGGTGTCCGTTCGGGATGAAACTTTGGCATCTGGTTGTCACCTCCAGCGCTACCTTCGGGCGGAGAATGAGCGTTCGGCGATGCCTAGTTTAGTTTTGCGGTCAAAAAAACCCTGTACATTTTTTTGTTGTGACACCCTGAATATATATTTATATAAAAGAAAAGAACCCTTATTGAAAACAGCAACAACGGACGATTTAATCTTCGACGTTTCGGCCGGAGTCCGGCCTTCGTCAGGAAAGCGCGCTTCTCCCTGAAACACTGTGTTTTGCAGGAAAGCAAGAAACTCGCGAGTGCGCTTCACCTTACGAGGTTGTGCACTGCGGAAGAAAGGCCTAGAAAGACTTCTTCATTATTTACATTTAATGCAAGAAATCTGTACGCGAATATCGGCCTCCAAAGAGCACTTATGGCAATAGGCCGCATTGATTGACCGGACATGACTTTAGAATTAACCAAATTACAGTTTTCTCACTAAAAATTATAAAAAAAACATTGATTTGATTTAAATTGCTTTCTGAGAGAAACATTATTTGTCTCAAGATATTAAATAAAATAGAATATGCAAATCAACCACAGACTTATGCTTTAGTCTGTCTTCCTGCTTCTATACCTCTCTCTGCTAATATCTGAGTTCATATGCTTGTTCATGCAGGCATAGTTTTTTTTTGTTCTTGACTCTACCCTTTGCCTTGTTTTCCTATACCCGAAGAATGAGCTGCAAAATAGAGAGGGCGTTCAATTTTCTGATTTACTTTTGCCTCAAAGAAGTCTTATATTTGCTCCTTATCCTCATATCAATATTACTTAATAATTTGAGCGACATAAAATGAAAAGATAAATGTACCTGAAAATAATGAAATGATTGAAGTACCAGCGGTAAAATCAGTTTTTCAAATATCTGATATCAAAATGTTTGATTTCAATCAACATGGTAAAATCGGTGATTAAAATCATACTTCGGTAGTATTTCAATTACAGTAATTGAATTACTGCAATTTCACTAATTTTCTGGTAATTTGTAATTGTAGTTAATTACTTTCTGCTAAAACGAATTGCAATTGTAATTTATTTAGTTTCGAGCATCAGTAATTAAAAACTATGAGGCACAATTACAAATACTTTTGCAAGGCTTTCCGGTGCCGACGGAACCTCTGAAAGCCTCAGTGCTCGCACAAGCGGCCTAGCACTCGGCGACACAGTCGCACACATAGTAGACATGCACACACACGCACAATAAAAATAGCGTCGCATTGTTTATTGTTTTGTTGCTGACACTGTGGACTGAGTGTCAATCCTCTTCAAGGGAGCCTACCTAAATGGCGCCGTGTGCCGCCGTTTGTGGTGCGAGCAGTAAGAAATAGCGTAAACATGACAATATATTTAATTTAAAAAAAAACAGTTGGGGAGCTTCAGCTTTCGGTCTAGGTTGGAGATATTGTAATTGTATATAAAGTTATTTTTATTTTTTGACAGTTGTTTACACCCCCCTTCCAGGACTGTCGCATGTTTGTTTCTTTGAATTATTTTAAAGTTTATTTCCTGTTGGTTTTACTTTGGATATTATTTGCATAATCATTTTTGAGACTGACCTCGCACCTGCGAATATTGTCACTGTTGTGTGCAATACGAGCAACCTTCCGCCGCTTTGTGAAACTCCTATGGCGCCACTCGGGCGATCAAGTAATGCCGCCGTCCCGCCGCCGCGGCATCCGGAGATTGGGTTACTCGAGCCGACCGTGACGTGAGCAGGCTTGGCCGTACGAATATCGTGGGAATAAAAGCAGTTCAAACTCAGCCCCGTCTGGAGTAGACTCCCTCTACATACGGGCTGAGACGCCCAACATAACATTGGCGACGAGTAGTTAGGTTTAGAACGTAGTAGTTATAGAAGTTAAGACTATGGCTACCGGAGGTATGCGCGGTGTTATCGAACCTTTCTCTGGCAAGAACTGGGCATCATGGCTGCAGCGTCTTAGCTTTTACTTCGTGGCGAACGACGTCAACAGCGAAGCAAAGAACCGGGCGCTTCTTCTCACGCCTTGTGGTTCCGACACTTTCGAAACTGCTCGTGCCCTGGTCGCACCGAAGACACCTGAGGAAGTCAGCTTTAGTGACTGAGTGACACTTCTACAGCGGCACTTCGACCCAAGACCACCTGAGCTTTACAGCCGGTGAGTTTTCCAATGACGCAATCAATTGCCCGACGAGTCAATCAGCAGCTACGTCGCAGCACTCAAGCGGATGACAGCTGACTGCAACTTTGGAGTACTGTCGCCAGAAGCTGCCACATCGACGACTGCAACAGCGACGTCGTCGCAAGCAACCGTGACATCAGTTTCATCAGCAAGGGAACACAACTACGACATTTGCTAGTGTAGCTACTACCCAGGCTATATCCGGCGCTGCTGAGATCCCCCGGTACAAAGGGGTTAGCCCCAAATCTAATCCAAATCCAAAAACGAACCCTACTATGCTGCCACAAGCTGTCATGCTCCGGGACAGGTTCGTCTGCGGAGTACGCGACGAACACCTCCAACAGACGCTGTTTACCGAAAAAGAGCTGACTTTTCAACGTGCGTTGGACATCGCTTTATCAGCGGAAAGTTTGTCCAAGCACCAACAAAAAACCAAAGGAGCGACGAGCTCCGCTGAGACCAACAAGGCATCTCAAGGAAAGCTCGAACCTAAGGGTTCGATTTCACGACGGCGTTGCTACCGATGCGACGGCTGGCATGAGACTGCAACCTGGAAGTTCAAGGCAGCAGAATGCCGCTTCAGCTCCAAGAAAGGCCACATCGAGAAGGCCTGCATTACTCGGAAGAAGCAAACCAGAGTCGCCGGCCAAGACCGGGCAAGGAACGTACAGTGTCCACACACCTTCGGGAACGCCTCTTTGAAGAGCAAGTCCTGCTACGAGCTGCAAGCAGTAAGTGGACAAGCGCCGTGTCCTAAGTTCCTTGTGGACTTACGGGTGGAGGGGAAACCTCTACAGTTTGAATTCGACACGGGCGCCGCACGCTCTTTGATCAGCGAAGAGACTTACCACCGAACGTGGCAGAAGCACGCTCCGACGTTGGCAAAAAAACCGCTCGACTTGCGCACCTGGTCAGGAGAGGAGTTAAGTGTCCTCGGCTCTGCGCAAGTTCGCGTCAGGTTCAAATCGAAGGATTACTTGCTACCCCTGCTGGTCATGAGGTCATGAGGGGAACCGGGTGCAACCTTTTAGGACGAGACTGGTTCTCAACGCTGAAAATCCGGGTTCAGGGAATCAACCAGGCTGTTCTGGCCGCGCAAGAGATCCAGGAGGTCCTCGCACGCCACCCAGATGTCTTTAACGAAGACATCGACGGTTACACGGGCCCTTTGGTTCACCTGGAACTGGAAGACGGAGCAGCACCCGAGTTTTGCAAGGCTCGTTCTGTGCCCTTGGCCCTGCAAGGATCAATGGAAGAAGAACTTGATCGTTTGCAACATCAGGGCATCCTGGAACCGACGCAACATGCTGAGTGGGCGACACCAGTGGTGTTCGTACGCAAAGGCGACGGCACGTTTTGTGTTTGCGGCGATTACAGGAGCATTGTTAACGCAGCCGCAAAGAAGACATCGCACCGCTTGCCAACAACGACAGAAGTGTTCGCAAATCTGTGCGGTGGAACTGTCCTCTCGACTCTGGATCTCTACCAGGCATACCAGCAAATGAAGGTCAACGAGGAAACTGCTACTGTGACCACCATCAACACCACCAAGGGACTGTTCCAAGTCAAACGGCTCCCGTTCGGAATTTCAGCAGCACCAGCCATCTTCCAACGCATGAAGTAGACCACACTGGCCGGAATTCCAGGGGTGAGTGTTTACCTTGGCGACATCATTGTCAGTGGGAAGGGCACTCTTGAGCATGCTGAACGCCTGGACCAGGTTTTATCGAGGCTAAGCAAGGCAGGATTACGCCTCAAGCAAGAGAAGTGCCGGTTTGGCGTCAAGTCAGTTGAGTTTCTGGAATACAGAATTGACGCTGAAGGAGTGCACACTCGAGGAGAAAGTGCAAGCTGTCCTTCAAGCACCCGAGCCAACCGATAAGACATCGCTTCAAGCTTTTCTTGGGCTTCTCGCATTCTACGACCGCTTTGTGGATCTCCGCGCGAAAGTTGCCGCCGAGCTGTACAAGCTACTGGAAAAAAATACGCCCTGGAAGTGGGAAAAGAAGCACCAGACTGCTCTTGATGCACTTAAGGGTTGGATACGCTCCTCCACTGTACTTACTCATTACGATGAGACGAAGCCTCTTCTCTTACCTGTCGATGCGTCACCGTACGGTGTTAATGCCGTGCTCGCCCAGAAAGATGAACTTGGCAGAGAGGCCCCAATAGCTTTCGCATCGCGAACACTGGGAGCCGCGGAAAAGAATTACTCCCAGCTCGACAAAGAAGGCTTGGCAGTAATTTACGGTGTCAGTCATTTTCACCAGTACATTGCAGGCAGACAAGTGACAGTTTTACCAGATCACCAACCTCTAGCTGCTTGGCATCTTGGGAGAAAAAAAGCAAATGGCCCAAGTCCTTTCCCCAAGGATGACACGATGGTGCCTCAAGCTTGCCACTTACGACTAAAATTTAGCCTA